ACGGTCGCCATCAGCTTCTGAAGTACTTAGGGTAGTAGAGCTGAAGGGGGGAACGCGTACATGTACATGTTGATGCCCTCCCAAGATATTTCCAGCACTGCGAAATCCCATGCCAAAGGATCTGGGATCGATGATACAAACTTCAGAAGTTGGTTGTTGAACATTGTGACTAACAGGTCTATTTGGGGCCGTCATAACGGGCAGATCTGGAAAATCTGAGAAAACTCTGTTGGAGACGGGTTGTTGGATTGAGACAAGGCATAGGCGATCATATTTTTTACTCCCGGGAATGTGTCTGGCTCTGACTACGATGTTGAGTGAGTCAATGGGATGGAAGAATCTGATCACCCACAGTAGCAGAATCACCAAGCCTGTCAAGCCTAGATGGTTTATGTACCAAACCACGGTTGAGTTGTCCAACTGGATCAGCAGGCTGGTTGATCGAAAATCCATTGCCCAATGCGAGATGGCTAGATTTACTGAATTGAATTCCAGCTCATTTATGGGAAGGACCTGTTCGGCGGATGACCATAGCCTGGCCACTTGATGTTCAAGAAAGTGAGCTCCCCAACCTGTGAGGGATGCATCGATGAACAAATGATGAATTGGTGCAAAGGGTAGCATAGAGACTCTGGCGCAACATTCCTTTTGTGAAGCCACCACTGAAGGACTGGACGAAGCGGTTCTGGAAGGCGAATCAGCTCTTTGGAGTTGTCGGCCTGGAGATACGGGATTTCTACGTCGGCCGAAGCTGGAGCTGGTCTCTGTATGTTAGGGCTTGAGCTGACGTCAGAAGGCCCAGCAGCTCCTGCTACAGACGTAAGGTGCTAAGACTGGAGGAATGCCTCGCTGGATCTTGATCCACCAGTCCTAAGGAATGAACATCATCCCCAGATGGGTGTCGAACAGCGCACGTTGAATTGGAGTCTCTGGGTCAGTATTAGTTCTATTTAGCGACGTTCAGCAGCCACCCTAACTGCTGGAGAAGTGTGGTGGTGAACTGCAGTTGGCGAAGGAGTACGACTGGGTCCTGTTGCGCCTGGATGCAATCATCTATGTAGCTTTCGAAGGTGATCCCTTATAAGTGGAGGAAGATTGTGATCAGCTTGGTAATATGGTTAAAAAGCCACGGGGCCGTGGAAATTCCAAATGGTAGGACCTTCCACTGGTAATGGTTCCTGTTGAACACAAAGCGAGGGTACTTCCGGTGCTCTGGATGTATTAGGACGTGAAGGTAGGCGTCCTGAAGATCGAAGCTGATGAGGAAGTCTCCCTTCTTCATGATAGTGCATAGTAGGTTGATCGACACCATCCAGAAGTGAGGAGGTGGATTAGTGCCTTGGGGTTGTTGGCCTAAAGTTGACATCTGTAAGTGAAGGCTTGAGCTGAGGTGAGGAGGCCAAGCAACTCGTACCACTGACAAAGGGATATCTCGTGAAATAGGAACGTTCAATTAGTCAAGCTACCATGACAGTACTGATGGAGTGCTCAATGTAGTAGGTTCGGCGAATTGAGATTGTCAGTTAATCTACAGGAACGTTCACATTGTAAACGGAGTGATGAAGTTTGTACGATCTGCGATCTTAGGAACGTTTTGGTTCGCCAAACAAAGTCATAGTCCGCCAGATGGAGTTGATGGAGTAGTAGATCGCTGCCTGGGGATCGTCTGGACATAGCTGCAGTGGCCTCTGAACTGGGCTAATGTAGAAAACCGAGTAACCCTAGCCAAAATCGAAACTTTCTCTGTTTGAAACCCTTGGTAAGCTGTCTCTCTTCGGCCAGCTGACAAATCCTGACACAATCACTCTTACCCGTGTAGCAGGTTAGTAGGCCATTTCTTCCCCGGTCTAAACTTTCCCCGGGGAGAATCTGGCCTGGGCCAAACTTTCCCGAGGAAGTTTTGGCCTAGGCTAAAGTCCCCCCTCCCCCCCAGGCCAAAGTTTCCCCACTGATAAAACGAGGATATTTTGTTCTGTTTTCTATGAAAAGGCGGCAGATTCTGGCCTAGCTAGGCTACTTCTTCCCCACCCTTGCTCTTATATCAAAAGTGGGAGATTCTGGTCTAGATAGGCCACTTCTTCCCCACCTTTGCTCTTATATCAAACCGATATTATTTTGACCTACATTTTGGTAAATTTTGTTGCCAATTAGTCCATTCTTGCCTCCAACTTGAGTGTAGTGATTTGAATGCATACATGTTGGAACAGCATATATCTAAATCCATCCTGCTTCTTCCGCCATTCCTCAGATGAAGCCCCATTGCATTAGTTTTTCATCTGCAAATCATGTCACCATAAGATGTAAACATTCAATCGCACATTTGATTGGTAAATAAGATGTAATATACACAGGCTGCTTGCTCTCTTAGATGACTGCGCTACTGACATAGCTATACCTCTGTTCAACCAGCAGAAAAAGGGTACCAGGTGGGATAAGTCATGTGACTAAAATCTTCTAGCACTTTACAGGCCGTTGGGTAATCCGAAGAAAACAAGACAGATTGTCGTGCTTACAGCATGCCACTCCATGGTGAGGAATTCAGCACATCACAAATGCCCTGAATACTAAGATCATGTTTAAAGCTGGGAAAGTTCGATAAATTTGGCCGTATCTTGATGCAAGTTCACGATCCTCAGTGAGGATGTAAAAACCAGTGATCACAAGTCCCGATACTTCATGTTAAATGTAGAAAATAGATCATCTGGTATCTTGCTCTTGGTAGCTGTAGGTGGTCGTCGAACCAAGCGATCATGTGTGTCAAATCCTCCAAACAATTCCTACATGTTAAAGGCGGTTGGCATAGTCCGAACCATAAGAACGAAGACGAGGTTCGATGTGGGTTGAGTGTCTTGGGAAGCATCCCAGACACAAGTAGGGTACGCTAGGTCCGAGGAACAGATGATTAGGTGAATGCTGACAGTTCCATGAATGTTGATCTTGACTGGGAGAAGTGTACGTAATCCTTCCGATTCGGTGAGGGAGGAAGATGGATGACTGGCCAGGTTCCACTGATAACTGAGGCGGTATTGAAGATCAGGATGCTGAAAGCATGGAACGCAGATCCTGTGTAGTAGTAGACGTTGTAGGGAGATGTTCAACCACCACAACCCTAGAATGGATCGACCTAGGTGAAGGATGCGTCCCTAATAATTTCCGAAGGTGATCAGACAGGTACGAGTCCGACAAAGCGTCCAAAAATCCTCTGCATCAGAGGGCGGGGACTTCATTCGACGATGAATCAAGACTGGACGATCGGTGCAGGATTTCTTGCTAAGTGATAGATCGTGATCCGATGAGGCATTCGTAGCTCTATCTGACAAATGATGTGCACATGAACGTTTATGTACCTTAAATCCTCTGCAGACAAGCTGGAACACTTCTCACATCGCATTTCCCATGTACATTGACCGATACAGTCCACACATGAAAAGTGAGGGTCCAATGTTTAAAAGATTGTTTTGCATTGAGCACAGAACTTGCGTTGCTTCGAGGAAGGATTAGATTTCCCATAGCAAAATGCAATCATAGAACTCAAAGTGTTATAGCGTCCACACAGAGGTGCAACATGAAAGAGAATGATCACTCAGAGGTAGTCATGTGGGCAGGTAGTGGAGCGTGCTGCACACTCAGATGGAACCAGGTAGCTGTCCGATAAGGGGAGCAGCATGCCATGGAGTACACGGGCGAATAGACAAGGAGGCCTAAGGAAGAAGTTTCCAGTCATTCCACTCAGTGTCAAAGTAAGAGAGAGAGGTGCAAGTCGTGAGATAGGATATTATAAGTTTAAAAATAAGCCTTGTCTGACATTGTCCTTGGATGAGAATACAGAAGCATCAACAGTCAAACAGTGACAAATAAACAAGTGTTTGCCACTGACATGGCAATGTCCCCCGCCGCAAACGAAGAATGAAATATAACATATTTACTGTTTTTTTATCTTTTGGCCACATAGAAGATTATCTTTTGTGTGATATAAGGAATGGAGAGTTACGAGGATATTACCCTACTTAAATTACATTCAAAGTATTGGGAATATTTCTGTTATCAAAATTAAATGTCAAAATGACAAAATGAAGTCTTTAATTTGAAACTGGTACACATCGCTCCATTCCTGAAAAGTAATGGAGTGAGCAGACAATGAAATAACGTCACAAATGTAATTTAAATAGTTGTTAGTCATGGTCACTTCTCAGAATCTTCTCCTAACTGTGAAGATATTTCAGGAATATAGAATGTATAGACGCAGATGCACATATCCACTGTCAGTATCAGTGTGTATTAGGACCGGGATGGGTCCAAATTTTCTACCCAGGTACCCCACCCCCTATTACCCTACCCTACCCTGTTAACCGTTATGTTAATTCCTGACATCAAATTTGTAAGAGATGGCAATATATTCTTCAGCTAGGAAGCTAAAATTTCGAGTTTTTCAATATCTTAACCAAGTATTATATTCATAACAGGTGACTGTAAATCATGTATAAATCTTCAAAGACAATACCACCTTTTAATCATGAAAAAATAACATATTACATTGTTTAATCTATTAGTCACATTATCATAACAGGTCCGGGTATTGAGACAGGTGAGATTTTGAAAAGTGTCATGTGACCTTGAAATAAGGTCAAGGTCATCCTGAAATGACTCGTGTCTGCATAATCACCCAATGTAGGCTGTTGACATAATTGGAGACATTGGTGCAATGTTTTATTAGAAATCACATTTACATGTGAAAAGTTGTCAAAGTGTCATGGTGACCTTGAAGATAAGGTCAAGGTCACCCAAATCGACTGGTGTCTGTGTAATTCCCTAATGTAGGCTGTCACCAAATTTGAAGACATTGGGTAAATTAGTCCATGAGATTTCGCGCTAACAAGAATCGGGACGGACGGACATAAGGACGCTGCTGAATACATAGTCCCCCGTTCCGCGTTGCGGCAGGGGACAATAAGCAAACACTTAGATATCTGACTGAACAAATGATGGTGACAAATGTTTACTTCTTATTCGACTCCTTCAGCTTGTATAAGAATCCACCCTCAGGAAATAGTACAATCCACTTTCTGTCAAGAGCTACATAGTCAGATACGAGGTGAGCATGGAGATTCAGCAGCTGTTGTTCCCTGACAGCTTTACCCTGGATCAAACAAAAACAAGATTGTTAAAATTCAGTAAACTAAAGCATAAATTAGGAAAATATTCACAATAGGTCATACCATTTAGTCAACTGTGTCATAGGTAACATTAGAAAACAGGTTCATAATTACTGTACAGTAAAAAGAGTGAGAAAGTGGGTTGGATTTATCACCACAAAACATGCCTAACATGCTCAATGTGGGAAGAGAGTCTGAATTGATCCAGGTCTCAGAGCCCGAGTATGGTGTTAACACACCTTGAAACATATAAAGCAAACCTAGGATTTGAACCCACACTAGGTGGAATAATAAACATCATTGTTAATAATCTTAGAATACTACCTCTACTACAACACTGCAATAAATCCAGTATTTAGGCTATAATCACATGAAAGTTATCTTCAGAATATCAAACAGAGGTCATCGTCACTGACACCTAGTTGTCAAGATAGCAGTATCGTCCATCACCAGCTCTTCATATTGTCAAGGCAGAAAACAACAACACTTTTTTACAAACTGGAAACTGGAAACTATCCACTAGAGACCAGAGAATGGAGAGGAGGGTGGCAGTAGTTCTGATGTAATATAATTAATGTTCTTAGAATAATAAACAGTGTTAAATATTGTTTGATAATTTTAATAAATCCTCTAAATCTACTACATCTATAACATTGCAAAAATGTTCTGTTTTCTTAATTCCCAGAATAATAGGTCTATGAAGTATGTGTTGCTTAATTAATTTCCATAGGTATATATATATTCAGAATCGATCATCAATGATCAGAGGCAGATCCAAAATGTTTTACCCTTGGTAGGAATTGAATAGTTTTTACTGGGTGTGGATTTAAAAAGTAGGAGTGGGGTTTACCTCTGGTTCCATAACCAAGGATTTTATCAGTCATAAATCTAGTATTAGTTACTAGTTTCGTTACTAAATGGGCATTTCGGAATAAATGCAATGACTTCATACTTACCTGATGCTACACAGTGCTTTAGCCCTACCTTAGCTGAACAGAAAGACAGAGAGAGTTGAAACAAATTGAAGTCTGGGCATTTTTTATCCAAAGGGACCTTAAAAATAAACTGGGCGTTAAAATAATAGTCTGAAACTCCACCCCTATGGGGCAGAGGGTTTTTATGATAGAAATGGAGGCCATGTTCAAGTGGCGTCAACTTTGTATTGCTTAAGGGCAGTAAATATATGACATAAATTGCCATGTGCACAAACACGTCACATACTTTACATGGACTTGACACTATTGACATCTTTCATTACTTGTCACTAATTTGTATTTCTGTTCAGGAATGTCTAACAGTGAGATTGCATATGATGATTTGTATGAGTGAGTGAGTGAGTTTAGTTTTACGCCACACTCAGCAATATTCCAACTATATGGCGGCGGTCTGTAAATAATCGAGTCTGGACCAGACATTACAGTGATCAACAGCATGAGCATCGATCTGCGCAATTGGGAACCGATGACATGTGTCAACCAAACCAGTGAGCCTGACCACCTGATTCTGTTAGTCGCCTCTTACGACAAGCATGGGTTACTGAAGATTCATTCTAACCTGGACCTTCACGGGTCTGATTTGTATGAAGTGTGCAGGTATAAGGAGAGGCTTCTGGATTGGTGAGCAGCTCGTTATACATGTGCGATTGTCATGATACATGAGGGACTGTCAGGGTGACGGTCGTGTGTTGCATTATAAAATCTATAAGCGCAGTGATAAAGAAGCAGAAAATACATGATCGAGGTTTAGATGCCACAACAGAGGTATTTAAAACACACTACAGCCCAGACAACAAGTTCAATGCCTCAAATGATTTAAATTTGAATGAATAAGTGATCATTTTTTTCTATGAATATTCATATGCATTTTTGAATGAACTTACCCTCTTGTGATTTATTTAAAAAAAGGGAAGTTACAATTATCTATCTTTTTTTTCTCCAAGTTAAAAAAAATGGGGGTTTCACATCCCTTTAATTGCCCACTGTTGTCCATGTAACAAAATAAATTGATCTAGACACAGCATTCAGATGGAAGAATGGCGGCCAACAAATCCTCTCACTTCAACTGTGAATAAAGAAATTTGCACATGTGGAAGTTTTTGATTTGACAACTTCTGTTAAAGTGCAAAAAAGTTTGATTCGGTTTTGGGACACAAATACTGCAGTATAAGCGCCATTCACATTGAGTTACTGCGTAAACTGCAGGTAAGAACCCCTCTAGTAGTTCTCCTGGCAGCAGCTGCACTCTCATCAGAACGGGGGGATTTGATGGTGGTTGAGCACTGTTGGATTAGAGCAGTGGTCTGAATAGAGAGAAGACATGGCTCAGCAGTAGGCAAATGCAAGGTGTATTTCGCATTTGGATCGTGAATGGGGAGTTACAATATCTTTACTTAACTGAGTCGCAATGGAACAGTTCCCAGTATCCCAGAATGTTTATACAGGAATAAAAACAAGGCATGTTCCAATCTCATCAGTGGTTGCCTATGTTGCTGTTTATACAGGAATAAAAACAAGGCATGTTCCAATCTCATCAGTGGTTGCCTATGTTGCTGTTGTGAGCCTGAAAAGACACCACTATTCCTGTCTCAGGTTACGGACACTGACTAACAATGGGGGTTAGCAAACTGCTGGGCCAGGACCAGTGGGCAGACAAACTCCATTGAGGTAATAGCTGGCGAAGACAGTTAATGACCTCAGAAGCAACCCTCCAAGATGGTCTGGATGGAGATGTTTGCATGGCCACTGTTGACTACAAGACTTAAATCTTTGTTGGTTGTGGGTCAGTGGAGGTGGCAGGTCAGCTGTAAGTATCACTGAGCTGTGCCAAGCCAAAGTGAGATGGTGTTGCTGGACACCCCAGCAGCGACACAGTTGGAAACCGGTAAGAACAGGTGGTGCTGATGGTGCTGTGTTGTGTTGGCACTTGGAGATATTGGCATAGGCCCCGGAAAGGGCAGAGGGCAAGTTCCTGGTCTTTTTAGAGGCTGACTATCTCAGAGAACAGCAGAAACTGCCAGTCAGGTTGGCCTGGGCCTGGTGATAAAATCCCAGAAGAAACCAAGATGTATATGTTCATGGACACGATGTAGGAAAACACCAGTGCATGAAGCTCACTGACTTGTGGTGAGAGCCAACAGAAAGCAGGTCTTGATGGTAAAGTTCTCAAAAGACCCCAGTGGATCAAATGGCATTTGACATATGTTGCGTTAAACTACAAAAAGGTCCAAAGATGGAGGGCAAAACTTCTTTCGTAGTTTGATCTGCAAAAACTGAGTACTGAGGCCAATAGAGGCCACTGAGCAATTTTCAAAACAGTGTTGATGACAGTGAGGTGAGTCACAACCAGTAAGGTGAAATAACTGAAATAATAGGAAATCCACCACCTGGGGGACAGTGGCCTAAATGCTAGTTTCATTTGACAGGATGATCAAAAAGCGTGAAACTAATGCAACTTGTCATCATACAAAGCAGAAGTGGTTGAGCGATGAGCCTTGGTTGAAAATCCTTTTGCCAAACATGAAGATTGTAAACTTTGGGATTTGGATTACGTTGGTAGGTGGACAATGGGATTCACTGCAAGCTGGAGTAGGACAGGAAATCACAGGTGCGGCCAAAAGCAAAAGCAGATGCTTGGTCTGGGATGCTTTGCTGAGGACTTGGGGGAAGGAGGACTGCTGCCAGGCTGCTGGGTCAAGAACCAGAGAAACTGCAGTTGGTGGTTGCCTGCCATGGCAACAGATCGACATTGGGTGTTTACAGCCAGGTGAAGAAAAGTTGAAAAGCCTCAGGATGGTTGATCCACTCCACGGGTGAAGAGCCAGGGACATGATGAGCCTGAAGCAAACTGGTGTTTTGTGGAGCTATCTGCCAATGCTTAATGGCTTTGTAGATGGCTTCCATTTCCAAGTTGTTGATGTGTCCAAAGACCAGACCATTTACAGAAAAGTGGTGAGTGGCCTTGAAACTGGTTAAAGAGATACCATTAAAGACTGGAAGAATGATGGGAACGTTCACTGCATTGCATTGCATTGATTGCATTGATATACATTTATATAGCGCTAATATCCCGTCTTGAGAAGACTGCTCAAGAGCGCTGCTGAACTCTGTATGAAATCCTGAACAAATGAGTTTTTAATCTGGATTTGAAAGTATTGAATGTCTGTACTGATCGAAGAGAGAGGGGTAATTTGTTCCACAAAGCTGGGCCGACAACCTGAAAAGACCTTTCACCAAATGTCTTGGTCCGGCTGACTACAGTCTGGCACATGTGTTGTTGTGATGACCTCAGATGGCGTGTTGGTTGATATTCTTGCACAAGGTCTGAGAGATAAACTGGTGCCGTGTTGTGCAAGGCTTTGAACATCAATACCAATATTTTGTAATGGATACGTTGTCGGATGGGTAACCAGTGCAATGTCATCAGAACAGGTGTTACATGCTCAGTCTTCTTTGTGAGTGTCACAACCCGAGCAGCTGAGTTCTGGACTCTCTGTAACTTGCTCAGAAGATATTCTGGAATCCCCTGCAGCAGAGCATTGCAATAGTCCAACCGAGATACTACATATGCTTGCATCAATGTTGCAGCAGTTTGCTGGTTGATGTACTTCCTGATTAAGCCTATGTTGTGCATGAAATAGTAGGCATTCTTGCACATTTTATTGACGTGCTTTTCAAGGCTAATAGTGCTGTCAAATATCACCCCAAGATTGCGAGCATGATCAGTAGGTTCAATGATACACTCATTAATTTCAAGTGTTATTGAAGAGAACCTTTGTCGTGTTGAACTTGAACAGAGAATGAGCATTTCTGTTTTGTCTTGATTCAGCTTCAGGAAATGTCTGGTCATCCATTTTTGGATATCAGCAATACAATTTTGAATTGCCGAAACATGCTGCATTGTAGGATGACGACTGCAGAGGCTTGAAACTTAGGTAGAGTTGGGTATCATCTGCGTACAAGTGAAAAGCAAGGTTGTGTGATCGGGC